TGAGTAAGAGACTAGCAAGGAAAGTGTTGACTGTTTAAAATGTCAATATATGTGAAAGATTTTCTTTGGATAAACATTTACATGGCAAATTTTACCTTCGAGGAATGAAAAGGTAGTAGTACCATGTAAAGCCTTCCTAGCTGTGCCTTGTTTGTCTGAGCAGGCAAGTGCAATAATATGGTTGTTTATAAAGTGGTTTCGGAAGCTTTTTCCTAAGTTTGAATCTGGCACTGTAGCTAACCAGACATGGACCTTGGGCAAGTTATTTAACCTTGCATGGCTCAGTTTATTAAAAGGAGTTAATCACAGTATCTGACTCATAGAGACTAACACTCATAGAGTGTTAGTCCATTCTTGAATTGCTATAAAGAATACCTCAGACTGGGTAATTTATTTATTTATTTATTTATTTTATTTTATTTTATTTTATTTTATTTTATTTTATTTTTGAGACGGAGTCTCGCTCTGTCGCCCAGGCTGGAGTGCAGTGGCCGGATCTCAGCTCACTGCAAGCTCCGCCTCCCAGGTTCACGCCATTCTCCTGCCTCAGCCTCCCGAGTAGCTGGGACTACAGGCGCCCGCCACCTCGCCCGGCTAGTTTTTTGTATTTTTAGTAGAGACAGCGTTTCACCATGTTAGCCAGGATGGTCTCGATCTCCTGACCTCGTGATCGGCCCGTCTCGGCCTCCCAAAGTGCTGGGATTACAGGCTTGAGCCACCGCGCCTGGCCAGACTGGGTAATTTATAAGAAAAGAGGTTTAATTGGTTCATAGTTCTGCAGGCTGTTCAGGAAGCATATTTCTGCAAGCTGCTTCTGTGGGAAGCCTCAGGGAGCTTTTACTCATGGTAGAAGGCAAAGCAGGAATAGGCAGATCACGTGGTGAAAGTGCAGCAAGGGTGGGGAGGTGCCACACACTTAAACAACCAGCTCTCATGAGAACTTACTATCTTGAGAGCAGCATACCTCACTCTGAAACTAAGGCCTCTAGGCCGGCAGAACATAATGTCGTGGGAATATGAAACAAAAATGGTGCTAGTGGGTTACTAGGGGTAATTGTGAGTGGTGTCACTTCTACTTCCACCCCTTGATTCCTGGACCTGTGAATCCTACCTATGGGAGAAACAGTACCATATACTAGATGCTGATTCAGAGCATATACGGCCTTCTGGAGAACTTTTCCCCAGTCCTGCAAAGTATTGTCACCCGTTTGGCATTGTAATTATGACTTCAAAAAGCCATTCTATTGTTCTCTCAAGCCAGCTGCTTCAGGATCAAGGGGAGCATGGTAAGACCAGTGAATGCCATGATCATGAATGCATACATTTCTGTCTGTAGAGTGAGTTCCTTGGTGACAAGCAATGCTATGTGTAATACCACGGCAGTCGACAAGTCCGTTCTGCAAGTCCATGGATGGTAGTCTTGGCGGAAGCATTGCATGTAGGAGAGGCAAATCCATATCCTGAGTGAGAGTATCCCAGTAAGAACAAACCCTGTCCCTTCCATAATGGAAGTGGTCCAATGTAATCGAACTACCACAGGTAGCTGGCCGAACACCCCAAGGAATAGTGCCACATAGAGGGCTCATTGTTGGTCTCTGCTGCTGGCAGATTGGCAGTCAGCGATGGCAGTAGCTAGGTCAGCCTTTGTGAATGGAAGTACATGATGCTGAGTCCATGAATAACCTCCTTCTCTGACACCATGACCACTGTGTTCATAAGCCCATTGGGCGATGACAGGAGTGGTTGGGGAAAGAGCCTGAGTGGTGTCAACAGAGTGGGTCATCATATCCACTTGGTTATTAAAATCCTCCTTGCCAAGGTCACCCCTTGCTGAGCGCACACAGAGGACACAAACATCTTCACAGTTTTTGGTCACTCAGAGAGGTCCATCCACATACCTCTTCCCAAAAATTTCTTTGTCACCAATTTTCTTTTTGTTTTATTAACTTTTATTTTAGGTTTGGGGGTGCAAGTGAAGGTTTGTTACATAGGTAAACACGTATCATCGGGGTTTGTTGTACATATTATTTCATCACCCAGGTACTAAGCCCAGTACCCAATAGTTGTCTTTTCTGCTCCTCTCCCTGTTCCCACCCTCCCGCCTCAAGTAGACCCCAGTGTTTGTTGTTTCCTTCTCTGTGTCACCAATTTTCTTTTCTTTTTAATTTAATTTTATTTTAAGTTCCGGGATACATGTGCAGGATGTGCAGGTTTGTTACATAGGTAAATATGTGCCATAGTGTTTGGCTGCACCTATCAACCCATCACCTAGGTATTAAGCCCAGCATGCATTATCTATTCTTCCTCATGCTCTCCCTTGTCGCACCCCCGCTGCAGGCCCCAGCGTGTGTTGTTCCCCTCCCTGTGTCCATGTGTTCCATTGTTCAGCTCCCATTTACAAGTGAGAACATGTGGTGTTTGATTTTCTGTTCCTATTTTAGTTTGCTGAGGATAACGGCTTCCAGCTCCATCCATGTCCCTGCAAAGGACATGATCTCATTCCTTTTTATGGCTGCATAGTATTCCATGGTGTATACGTACCACATTTTCTTTATCCAGTCTATCATTTATTGGCATTTTGGTAGATTCCATGTCTTTGCTATTGTGGATAGTGCTGCAGTGAACATACTCGTGCATGTATCTTTATAACAGAATTATTTATATTCCTTTCTTTATATACCCAGTAATGGGATTGCTGGGTCAAATGGTATTTCTGCCTCTAGGTCTTTAAGGAATCACCACACTGTCTTCTACAATGGATGAACTAATTTACATTCCCACCAATAGTGTAAAAGTGTTCCTATTTCTCTACAGTCTTGCCAGCATCTGCTGTTTCTTGACTTTTTAATAATTGCCATTCTGACTGGTGTGAGACGGTATTTCATTGTGGGTTTGATTTGCATTTCTCTAATGATTAGTGATGTTGAGCTTTTTTTCATATGTTTGTTGACCAGACGTATGTCTTCTCTTGAGAAGTGGCTATTCATGTTCTTTGCCTACTTTTTAATGGGGTTGTTTGTTTTTCTTTTCTTGTAAATTTGTTTAAGTTCCTCGTAAAATTCTAGATGTTAGACTTTTGTCAGATGGATAGATTGCAAAAATCTTCTCCCATTCTGTAAATTATCTGTTCACTCTGATGATAGCTTCTTTTGCTGTGCAGAAGCTCTTTGATTAGATCCCATTTGTCAATTTTTGCTTTTGTTGAAATTGCTTTTGACATTTTCATCATGAAATCTTTGCCCATGACTATGTCCTGAATGATATTGCCTAGATTTTCTTCTAGGATTTTGATCATTTTGGGTTTTATATTTAAGTCTTTAATCCATCTTGAGTTAATTTTTGTATAAGGAAAGGGGCTAGTTTCAATTTTCTGCATATGGCTGGCCGCTTCTCCCAGAACCATGTATTAAATAGGGAATCTTTTCCCCACTGCTTGTTTTTGTCACGTTTGTTGAAGATCAGATGGTTGTAGATGTGCAGTCTTATTTCTGAGATCCCTATTCTGTTCCCTTGGTCTATGTGTCTGTTTTTTGTACCAGTGCTCTGCTGTTTTGGTTACTGGAGTCTTGTAGTACAGTTTGAAGTTGGATAGCGTGATTCCTCCAGCTATATTCTTTTTGTTTAGGATTGTCTTGGCTATATGGGATCCTTTTGGTTCCATATGAATTTTAAAGTAGTTTTTTCTAATTCTGTGAAGAATGTTAATGGTAGTTTTGTGGGAATAGCATTGAATCTATAAATTACTTTAGGCAGTATGGCCATTTTCATGATATTGATTCTTCCTGTCAATGACTATGGAATGTTTTTTCATTTGTTTGTGTCCTCTCTGATTTCCTTGAACAGTGGTTTGTAGTTCTCTTTGAAGAGGCCCTTCACTTCCCTTGTTAACTGTATTCCTAGGTATTTTATTCTCTTTTTAGCAATTGTGAATAGGACTTCATTCATGATTTGGCACTCTGCTTCTCTATTGTTCTGTGTCACACCAATTTTCTAATCATATTCCTTCCAAGTCCCTGACCATCCAGCCAAACCATTGGCTCAACCCATGTATATAATTGCATGTCGGGCCACATCTCCTTTTAAGCAAAGTGCACAGCCATGTGCATTGCTTGAATTTCTCCCCATTGGGAAGATTTTCCTTTACCACTGTCCTTCAGGCATGTCCCAGAGATGTCCTGTAGTGCTGCAGCTGTCTACTTTTGGTTGGTGCCGCATATTGTGCAGAGCCATCTGTAAACCATGCCCTAGCCTCTTCCTCTGTTAACTGATCACAGGAAACTCCCCATGAGGCCATAGGTAGAGGCTGGGAGACAGAAGGCAGGGTAGCAGGAGTGGAGACCATGGGCATTTAAGCTACTTCTTCATGTAACTTACTTGTGTTCTCAGGACCTGCTCAACCCTGATCACGTATACACCACTTCTATTTGATGATGGAATACTGCAGTGCACGCCCAATTTTATGTCTTGATGGGTCAGAAAGCACCCAGTTCATGATAGGCAGTTCAGGTCGCATAGAAACTTGGTGACCTGTAGTCAAATATTCAGTTTCTACCAAGGTCCAGTAGCAGGCCAAAGCTGTCTCTCAAAAGGAGTTGTCAACCAGGAGTGGTGGCTCAAGCCTGTAATCCCAGCACTTTGGGAGGCCAAGGCAGGTGGATCATGCGGTCAGGAGATCGAGACCCTACTGGCCAACGTGGTGAAACACTGTTTCTACTGAAAATACAAAAAGTAGCTGGGCATGGTGGTGCATGCCGATAGTCCCAGCTACTCAGGAGGCTGAGGCAGGAGAACTGTTTGAACCCAGGAGGTGGAGGTGGCAGTGAACCGAGATCGCGCCACTGTACTCCAGCCGGGCAACAGAGCAAGACTCAAAAAAAAAAAAAAAAAAGAAAAGGAGTTATCTACAGAAGATGGTAGGGCCTTGCTCTAGCATCCTAAAGGGCTCCACTATGATTCACCTATGAGGACCTGCCAGAGGCTCCCGACAGCATCCCAATCTGCCATTGATACCTCATGCACCACTAGATCTGCTGGGTCATACGGCTGGCACAGTAGCCTAGACCTGTTGCAGAGACTTCTGGTCTGGGTTCCACTCAAAACTATCTGCCTTTTGGGTCACTTGACAAATGGGCCAGAGCAACACACCCAGAAACAATACTTTACCAGCCATCCAGGCATCCCTCAATCCAGTCAAGTTGACACCTAATATTGACCATCATAGGTTGTGAGAATTCAGTGAGTTGAAAAAAAGTGAGCTAAAAATTGCCTGTTATACAGAAATGTTAAATCAACATTAGTTATTATTACTTAAGTATCAAAAATCTTAAACATGAATGCAGAAATATTTGAATTATCACAAAAATGAAAACAAGCCATTTTAGAAGCTATATAGCCCTTTAATTTTTCCCAGTTAATTTATCTTGAGAATTGATAATGGTTGGGAAGTTCTAGAAATGTCCAACACCCCAAAACCAACTCAATATAAGCAAATGTGAGCCAGTATTTTGGTAACCTGCAAAAGACTTTACTTAGAATTGAAATATGTTCAACATTTCACCAAGAAAGCCAATTTCTCCTTTAAAAACAGTTATGTGATTACATCAAAACACTATACAACTTAAAATTTTCTTTGTGACCTGAACCCAACTTTAGCTCATTATTTTAAATAATCTAGATATTTATATCGTTTTCTCTTTATAATTATTCCTCAATCTTTTTCAATCTTTTCCTATTTCTGAAGTAAAAATGTTACAGTCTTTTAAATTCTGCAAAAACTTGCTGTTATTGAAGTAGGGAAGCCAGTAAAGGTCAAGCTATCTAGTAATCTTTAAATTTCAAGATATTTTTACAATTAATAAATTTCATTCTTTAAAAATTATGCCACACAGACAAGAAAATGCTCTTTTAGCCTTAAAATATTAGCATAAAATACATGTAAAATGCTTGCCAAGAAAGTAGACATCAAATGTTAATCATATTCAAAAGCTTGTATAATCTTTTAACAGAACATCAAGAAGCAAGCTGCCTGAAATATTTTTTTGTGGAACAAAGGAGAAAATAAATAAATAAAAATCTTGTTAATCTCTCTCTTACGTACATAATTCTCCAACTTTGAGCTGATTTTTAGAATAGCATTACAAAAGTCACTTTCTTCAATTCTTTCTTTTATCTTTTGATTGTGTCTCAATTTTTCTGTATATCAACTTGGGGTAATTGAATATATTTTTGTACCTATTGATTGAAAGAAACCCTATTAGAATTTAAACGTATTTACGTATTTTAAATGATCATTTAGTCAATTGTAAAATGAATAAGTTTCCATTCTTCATTATTTTTGATACAGGAACACGTATTTTTTGTGTGCTCATGGGAGAGTAATAAATCACGCTTAGGAAAACAAAGCTGTCTGGGCAAAACAATTTTAAAAAATAAATCCCAGTAATAAAAGTTAAGAAACAGCTGATGAAAACAGATGTATTCTTTGTTTTATATGAATGTTACATTTTGTATCATGTTAAAAATTAAGGATAAGTTGGATTTAGTTTAGGTCTATGCATTTGGCACAGAATGCTAAAGTAAACCCACCCTTGAGAAAAAAAGCAAGGTATAATTTATTAATTATAAAACAATGATGGCTAAAGTTGAGTGTGGAACATAGTATATCTTTCTCAAAAAGATGTTTGAATGAAATTGACTTAGGATTTAAAATAGAAATCAGAGGATATGAGAGGTGGCTTAACTTTATGCTATGTTATTTGAGACAATAAATTATGTCTTTAGTTTGAATTTTTTAAAGGGCAGAAAACTTGACATGGTCTGTTGTCAAATACGTTTTTTTCAATTTCAAATTATTTTTCCCCAAATAGCATTCAATGTGGCCGTGTCTGTGTTTAAAAACCCAAATCCCCCTCTATTTGTGCTAAGAGTTTATTTTTCAGCATTTTGTTGTTGTTGTTGCATTGACCCCCAAATAATTACAGAATCCTAAAGCTTATGGAAGTCTGTCTAATTTTAACTTCAAACATAGTATTATTTTATGAATTGATAAAAGATTTAGAGGTTCTATAGTTTGGATTTACTCTCTAAAAACTAGGGGCTTGGGAACTTAGCCTCTTAAAGGTAAATCTTTTGTGTGGGCTCAAGGGACCCAGAATGAATTATACTGAGCCACATTTTCCTCTCCCACCATGCCATAGTCCCCTCATGTAAATGACCTCTCATTGATTATCCTGAACAATGGCTCCACTATTTCTTTTGCTTCAATTAAACAAACTTTTTGAAAGACCATTGGGGACTTTAGATTTGAAACATTTCTAGAGAACTCAAAGAAGTAGCCCATCTTTAATTACACAATATCTGTTTAGTAAATGAGGTGCAATCTCTGAGTGAAAGAGAAAAGTAACCACAGGCCTTCTGGCCCAATCATGGAAATCATTTTGAAGAATGATGCCTATTATGGGTCCAAAAAGAAAGAAAAGAGAAATAAAAGGAGAGGCTGATTGTATTTGAACTTTTTGACAGGAAAAAAGTATATGCTTTTAGCTCATTAGAAAAAGGAACAATATGGTAAGATTTAACTCAGTTGAACTATACATCAGTTACAATTGAACTTCCCATAATTTACTCATTACATGACATAATTTACTCATTAGATAATTAGATGCAAGGTGCCTATTTTTCTTTGCACCTCCTTAGTTTCAAAACAAATAGCCAGGATGTTTTATTCATGGTAGTTGAGATGTAACACCCAAAATACAGGTTAGACAGAGAGATTTGGGCACTATTTCATTACTTATAGGGAAGAATGAAATGGAAAAATGCATTTTGCGAAAGTGTAAACCTTGCCTTGGGTTGGTGATTTCCTTAGCTAAGGAAACTTTGATATAGTAATAATTTCTCTGGTACCTTACCCACCAATCCTTCCAACACTCCCTTTTGTAGTTCAAGGATTTTTCCTTGAGTTAATTTTCTTTTTTTTCTTTTGGTTTCGCAGCAACTGTGATTTCCTTGTGAACTGCCTTAATTGCTTTCTAGAAGTAAGCAGAGAATGAACGAGTGAATAAATGAATGGAAGCAAATTTCAGTTAATAGAATGGGGTTGTGAAGATACCCCTGGTTAAGATGTCTGCAAAAGAAAAAGTCTGAAATATGCTTGCCTGGAGAAAAACCATCAGTTTCCAAATTCGTTTCCACTCATTTGTGAGCTCCCCTTTAGGTAAATGGTGGAAATAGAATAAAACAGTTTAGGACTTTAAATAGTGTTGTGTTGAGATCTTAAGCATGGTTTAATCTTGCCACTTTTCAATAGATGAACAGAAGAGTCACCTCACTGTATCTTTAGTGCCTATTATGTATATCGTATGGGATGCTAAAATCCATGCAACTTGTCTTTGAGGTTATTCTCACTTCATAAGATGAGGAAAGGTAGAATTGTTTCCTTCAGGGAACATTTGTAACTTTTGCTGTTGCCCCTCTATCACTCTCTTACCCCCCTTTATTTTGTATTTACTAGTCAAGAAGGAGTTGGTGGACAAACAGTGCTTTAGAAATGTGTTGCTGTCATGGAGAAGGTGGGCTCTGGAAACTCTTCTGGATGAAGAAAGGAAGATTTGAAGGAGATAGGAACCCTCATTGTGAGAGAATGCTGCCTACAGCTGAAGGAAGTTTGCCCTCTTAAAGCAGAAGGCAATAGAAGGAAGAGCTGGAGAAAACGTAGACAGGAGTAGGAGTTTAGTCTAATCCAGAGATTTAAAAAATCAACCACATATAGTAAATAAAGATTTCAATGAAGCAAGATGGTTAGAAAGGTTTATTTTCTAATTTTCTGAGTGAATTGTTAGATGTTTAGACCCCTATAGGATCTATACTGCACTGAAGGTTGGGAAATATTACCCAGACCACTTTCATTTACTCATCAACAGTTCTGGAAACATTTATTTTCTATTTATCTCATATTTATTAATCTTAAAAAGCAACAAATATTTCTTCATTTACTTTATTACTTAGCAAGAAATAAACTGATGTCAAAATATCCTCTCAGTGTAATTTCTTACATGTTTTCTACATGAATACACATAGATAACAGCAACCATTCTGGTTAATATTATGATCTATACATGTGAACATTTTAGTGTGATAGTGTATTGCTGCTAAGCCAACTGTTAGATACATATTTTCTTAGAGAACTTCAGCTCAGTTCATGTAAACCAGTACCAAGTTCCTAAGCCCTACTCACTACAAAATAAATTCAGGCTTAACTTTTTTGATAAATAATGAAGAAGGCTGAAATGTAAATATAATTCCAAGACAGTATAGTTAGTCATGGCTTTGCAACAAAATTCATCTACTTTCAAGTACTCTCTTCATATATTTTGAGAGTATAATTGTTACGCAATTTTACATCATAGTGATAATACCTTTGTGTCAAATCCTGCAGGGAGCCCTTGGAATACTTTCAGATCCTGCTTGAGCTACAAAAACATTGAATAACATTAAAAATAAAAACAAGAACTTAAGCAATAGAAAAGACTTGTACATATCCTCCTGTGATATTCCATGTGAACCGTTATTTAGGAACACCCTCTCCCTTTATACAGGAGGGGGGATGGAGTGAGGAATTCTAAGAATATTACACAAAAGTGTCAAAGCATCGCAATTTTTGCCTAGTAAAGTATCATTTTTTTCTTCTATTTTATTGTGCCACTGGAGTGTAGTGGCACAATCATAGCTCACTACCTTGAACTCCTGGGCTCGAGTGAGTAAAGGATCATTTCTAAGTGAATAAAAAAGCCCCTTTTTATAGCAGAGGGATTGAATTTTATTTAACTTTGCACTTGCATACAGTGTCTTGCATACAGCAGGTGTGTGATAAATATTCATAAATTGTATTATAGGTAATCCATGATATTTCCTGACTTCATGTATATACTGACATTGTCAAAGATTATGACTGTTAAAGGTTACTGATTATTTACATAAAAACAAGTGGGTCTTGCAAAGAAAATTGGGTATAGCAGTGTGTGTGTCTGGAAACATATACACATCAAGCATGTATGTATATATGTGGGTATGTCTAGACTCCCTCAGGTTCTATAGCAGATAAATCCTGTAGGGCCTGGATCCTCAGGAGCAGTACTACTTACACTTTCATGTGCATATACACCACCTGGGCATCTTGTTAAATTATGGATTCTGATTTAAGTTTCTGAGTGATACTCAATGCTGCTGGTCTGGACACTTTGGGGACCATATGGGATGGAGACTGACAGATCCTGAAAAACAGTATCCATAACTGTTGACTGGAACCCAATGTCGATAGTTTTCCTGGCCTTCTCAAACACAACCTGCCATGTCATCAGATGCCATCTACTAGTACAAGACACTGATGGTCAGTCAAGTCCCAGTCTCTATGGAACAGTTAGTTGGAAAGTACCTGTGAGCCACCTGCTATGAGCTAATTACTTGGCGGAGGGGGAGTGGGGCTGTTGTGCCAGGGACACAAGGAGGTGTAAGGTATGGTTCCTTCCTTCAGAATGCTTATAGCGGGTTGGGAGTGTGTGTATTCATGCACTAAATATATGAAAAGCAAATGCAACCAGAAAACAATCAGATGCTAAACTCTGTGTTGTAGATGTATGTTCTCAAATGTTCAGAGCAGGGCAGATTGCAATGGCTTGGGAAAGTTCTAGAAATGTCTTTGTCTTGGATTGGGGTTCCTAGAAACAGACAGACCCTGAGATGATTTAAGTGCAAATCATTTATTTGAAAACTTCAGGAAACCAATATTGGAATAGAAGAGTGAGAAAGAGAAGGGAAACAGTTCAAAAAGTAGCCAGGGAAATTCTAGGGAGAGTTTATTTCATTTGAGGGGTAAAGGAGTTTTGGAAGTTTACAAAACACCAACTCCCATCACTGGTTGTAGGAGCCATGGGCCAGCATTCATTCCTCACATATGCATATGCCATGTGTGTTAGCAGAATGGTTTGTGAAGTTGGGGAAGCCATAGGCAAAGAAATGCAAATATTGGCTGTTGGAAATAGAAGTCAAGTGATTTCAGTCTGAGGGCTACAGGAAGGGCAAGGACCTGCTATCATCTTAAAAGAGCATCAGGATTTGAGCTGGAATTAGCAACTGCTTCGTCCTCTTCAACTCACCTGATGCCAGTGCCCAGTTGTCCTTTCTGGTGAATCTGAGATTTGTTCACTTGTTAGGCTCATGCCTAGAAAGGGCACTTACTAAGTGGTGGCTTCCTGCCTTTCTTGAGGCAGGCACCTACGTCCTTCACAGACACCAGTGTAGGAAAGTCAGATCGTCCTTCTCTGGAAAGAGGAAGATCAAGTCTGTGGGGACCAGGCTGCCCATTTCTAGGGTTTGATCCTGGTCTCGCAGACACCCCTTCTATGTGCAGCCATGTCATGGGACTTGCCAAACTGACCCAGCTCACAGGGAACTGCAGGTCTTCTGTGGATTTGGTCAGTTGGCCCAAATTACAGTTGATAATTACACGACACTGTTGAAAATTTTTGCAACATGTAACTTTTGTAACATTATTTACTACTCTGCATTTGCAAGTATTTTGGGAACTGTTTGTCCTTTCACCAGCTCTTTAGTTTCTTGGGAACACTAAGGTACATAGGATTACATTTACTTATCTTCACTATGAAGGGAAATAAAGTACTGTTCTTAGAATCAGCCGAGAGAAGGTAGAAAACAGGAACTATCTGCTAATCAATAAGGAGTTTTCATAATCTGACCCCAGCCCGCTGTCCAGCCGCATCTCTCTCCCTCCCCTCCATTATTCATCCTAGGCTCCAAGCACTTGAAATCATTCATGGTTTCTAGAAGACTCAAGGCCTTTTCCAGGCTGATTGCCATTGAATGTGATGACTTCCCCATGGATACCTTCCTCCTCTTCCCCTGACATAACCCTATCGTCTTACAAGCCAAACTTATAATGCTCTCCTAAAACTCCCCCTCATGGGGTTAGTTCCTTCCTTCCTGGTCCAGTTCAAAATTCAATAACAGCAAGTACCAAATTAAATTCCAATTGTCTGTCTTTACATTTCCTCATCCCCAATTGTGAGACCTCTAGGTCAGGGACCATGTCTTTCTCTCCTCTGTGTCCCCATCACCAGTACTCGGTCTTACAGTTAGAAAGAATCAGCAGCTCCACCCTAGATCACTGAGGGAGAGAGGATATGTAATATCAATACTCTTATTTGAAAGTATATTTTATATGTACTCAAAATTTGCCTTTGTTTTCCTTATACTTTGTAAGAGGTTTATTATTAATATTATTTACAATTAACATGTATCATTTTTAACAATACAAACAAAAATAAAAACTGTCTTCACCTTGGAAAAAATCCTTCCCCAATTCATGACAATTTTATAATATTAGGTAGCAGCCACTGGTACCAACCAAGGCTTAAGAAAATATATCCCCAAAGTCATTGAACCTACCAAAATTTTAACTAAGTTTATCATCCCTGGGGAAATTATGCTTTTAAGTCACAGGTCCTTCCTTTTGTAGAATGGTCCCCAGATTTTTTTCCGTCTTGAATTATAATTTAAAGGTGTAAATCATCCATCCAGCTCCCATTTCTCAGGATGTTATTCAACAGCCAGGATGAGGACAGTAATGTGGTTCTCAGCTGCCTTTGTCATTCTTTTCCTTTTCCTCCTGAAAGTGTTTTTGTAGGCCTGCCGGATGTCACAGAAATGCAACCTGGGCAAGATGTGTGTCACTTCTTTACTTGAAAAGTGTCCATGACTCTGGGCCCAGAGAGGATGTAATGAACACGCCCTGGTGCTTGGCCAGCATATTCCAGCTAGTTAGAAAAACAAGGCAGAGGGCACAGGATTTAACACACACAATGGCAGCGGCTGCACTCGGGGGCATGCCATTTGATTCTTCACAGATGTGGGCTATTGGTCTGTAGTGAAGGAAAAACCAGTGGCCATAGCATCCACGTGCTATGAGGTCATTTGTAAAAAAAAAAAATGTAAAGCATCTCGCGTCTGTTTCCACCACTAGGTCTACTGCCTTGTAGATCTGGCACAGAGGAGGGGCATGGTGATGGACTGCATGCTACATACTGGTACGTGCTTTCTAATGAGACCAGACCCTAAAGTAAAGATGACTATTAAACTAAAATTTGTATCAGTTCACTTATTTGAGTCTTAAATATATGGAAAGATACATGAATTTAAGTTGGCCTCTCAAAAAAAAAAAAAATCAATGCCATTCCTAAAGTGTTCTCTTTTCCAAGTTGACCCATGTTAGGAAAGAGGGCTATAATAACGATAATACCCAACAAGTGAGCTGAGACCACTTGCATGGCTAAGAGAGTCTAATTAGGGAAGAAAATAATGAAAAAGTAAAACCCTCTAAAGTGGAAACAAACATTCTATTTCAGTCCTCCATGGACAAGAAACATCAACCTAGTTTGGGTTTAACTTAAACCACTTCGTATTTAGTTGAAGAGTTTTTTAAAAATTGCTGCAAACTTATTTGAGCTGTTTATATAGCTGGGGAGGTGGGGACCACCTACCCTTTATGGAAAGCAATGTACTTCCAGTGGCCCGAGAAAACAAGGCCTATTTTAAATTATGAAGTTTTACAAAATGAGGCTTTATTATTTTTGTTATCCTTATTTCTCCCACGAATGGTGGTCTGTGATACAAATGTAAAACAGATATACATTCCACCCCGAGGAATAAAAATCTACATACACCAGTCATTTCCTAAAAAAGAAAAAATTGTGTAGCCAGCTATGCCTTCCCCCTTTAATGATATATGTAGTTGTCTACGGTGCCTCATTCCAATTCTGTCTTCTGATTTTGACTGGTCCCACATATGCCTACCCATTCAGCTGCTTTCCTTGGAGAAGCAGAGGCAAGGTAAGCCATTTCCCTAGTTTTCATCTACCTAATTTCAGTCTGTTAGGGTCAAGTTTTAGCCTGTATACAAATAAATGCAATGAGAAAGCCTTGGACAATGGTGAGCAAAGTAATAGAGTGCTGACATTTATCAAATGTTTACTATTTGTTAAATATTGTTCCACATGGGTTAACTCATTAAATCCTCACAACAAACCTAAGAGGTGAATAATATTCCCATTTTACAGATGAGGAAACTGAGTCAAGAGAGGTGATGTAAGTTGCCCATAACTGTTGAGTGACTGAGTCAGGACTGAAATCAAGGCAGGCTGACTCTGAGCCCACCCTCTTAGTCACCACGTTATTTTGCCCTCCTCATAAGCAAATTAATTCATGTAATGGATTCTTGCACAGACAGTTCCTTGGTGGTGATCACTGCTCAGTCTACAGTGGTGAGTGCTCCTTCTTGGAGCTGTACTTCAACCAATTTGCAGCCTGCTGAGGCCTCATATATGAAAATCTCTTTATAATCCACTCAGAATCATCTTTCACTTATGTCACCTCCTAGCAGTCATTATGGATGGCCTTGGCTCATCACATATTTGTTGTATAATGACTCCATATTCCCCTGTCAACTTTATTCTCATCTTTTACCTGCTAGATATCAGAAATAGATTGTATAAGCTCAGAAATAAACAGCCCTCTCCACACTAATATTTCCTCCTCCTCTCTCTTAAGTTATAATTATGTCATCTAGAATAAGTAGACAGATACCTGATGGAATCAAAGTTCAAGTGAGAAATAAATCCTCAAATTATTAATTACTAGTACTCTCAAGTACTCATTCAGTCTATGGCCACAGGTGAATTCAGATGGATTTGATAATATTTATTTCCTCTGGAAGCTGAGAGACATAGGGAGGAGAAAAAGACATGAACCTGCAAATTGCAGTATGACATAATTGAGATACAACCATGACACATTTGAGGTACAACCAAATTACTATGGAAGTATAGACTGGGAGTGACTAACTTTGTCTAAGGGGAGTAGGAAGAACTCACAGAGGAGGCAACACTTGAGCTGGGTCATGTAAGATAAGTAGGAGAAGGGGGTAAAAACTATCCAGACAGAATAAGCTGTGAAGATCTCAATGTATGTCAGAGTAAAGGGTGTTCAGGGAAGGGTGTAAAATCCTGAATAGTCAGAATGTAGGGGAATGAAGTGGACTGCACAGGTAAGAGGTGAAGCTATAGAAGGAAGCTGGGGCCATGCCAAGGAGTTCGCATAATATCCCACAGGCAGTGGAAGAGACCACAGAAGACTTTGTGTGAGGAAGTACGATCACACTTGTATTTTTCCCTCTCTCGTTGGCCTCTCCAGCTAGGCAGGTTTTGTTTATTATATTGCTGCTGTTACTTTATTGCTGTTGGTTGAAATCCATCAAGCTTTTATTAATATGCCAGGCACTGCGTTAAGTGTTTTATATAAATTGCTGGATGTATGTTTGGGGAATGAACCCTTAGGTGCTACTAAGAAGTCATTTCTGCTGTTGTCTGAAAGGTTTCTACTGCAACCTTCTCATTTGAGAAAGACAAAAGGACCCATGTATTTTTGCTGTGTTTTGGACATATTTAATCAAATACTATTTATTATTTATGAATTTACTTCAACTGAGCATATCAGAGAAATGGAGTAAATCCTGGCATTCTAAAGAACTGGATAGATCTTTACTGAAAGGTGTACCTCAAGGGCAACAATTGATCAGTTCTCCCAGAGGCAAATTTCTCTGCCCTGGAAGTGTTCTGTGAGTCACTCATGGCCTCCACAGTGACATAAGCACTATATGACTATTAAACATGGCTTTATTTAAGTTTGGGCAAAAAAAGATCCCTGAGTTAATCTGGGAGACAGAGAAAATAAGAATCTGCAGGATTTTGGTTTTTGTTTTATATATACAACTCTTCTCTGCCGAATGTAATACAGATGGAAAAATTGTGATGCTGCTATCAAGCTGTTGAAAACAGTCTGCTCACCCAGATGGGCGCTCATTTGAAAGACAGGCACACCCGGTCAGTTCCCAGTAGCCAGCCCTGCAGTTCTTACACCTGGCTTCATGCAAGCACAGAAGGTGAAGCCAATTAATAACTTGTATAATTCCAGGCTGTCTCTACCCCCATGGCCAAATTCTGGACTGAGGATTGCAAACGCTCAGGAGACTCTGCTCTTCCTAAAGATCAAACCATGGAGTTTGCTGGAAACCAGGAAACAAAGGAGGTATGCTCTGATCAGTCATAGATTGTATATTAGATGCTCTGATCAGTCAGTATGCTCTGATCTGTCATAGATTGTATATTATAAAAGTTGGAGAAGGATCTCAAAGTTGGATTGGCTTTTCCATATTGCCAAAATCTTTTAAATCCTGGAAATAAAATTATCTGACAGTTTGAACCCCCAAAACCCAACTGAAAGCACTACTTTGGTGTCAAAGAGAAAAATTTCAAACGGAATCAATTTTTAGATGAGAACAGAATAGGATAAGGGACACGACCCTAGGGCTAGAGGTCACAAGGGTCTTGTGGCTGTCTTATAAGCATCCCAAAAATCCCCATGCTTCATATGGTCTCATGTTTCATTGTCTCCCCATAGACCAAGCTTTCCACATAGAAAGTGATGGGGCTTTTCCAGGGCAGTTTTTGCCTCTCTTTCTTTATTGATATTTCCTTTCACTTTGGTACCCAAGACTCCATACTGGGCATCTGCCTTCATGCCCACCTCTCAGTGTACCTCAGGAACTTCTTGTTTCATTTTGGAAAGAGGCTGGGTAGAGATATACGTACATGCATATCTTGCCTATTGTTTTTGGTTTTTAGAAATATTGCTCCACAAGGTTTTATTTAGAAAATTAGACAAATTTACTCAAATTACACTGTTACTAGCTGCTTAGATTACTACACTTATTCTTGGGACATCTGAACTTTAGCATTCCTTACAGCTAAAAGAACTTTCTTACAGTAATATTTCAGGCATTACACATAATCAAGAAAGAGCATTATTTCTGAGCAAAGGAGCCTGCCTGACATTTATAGGTAATTTTATTAGACTAAATAAAACGGAATAATGGAATCAAATAATATCAGACCATAAAGGAGGCAATCCAGTGTAAAGCCATTAATTTTTACGGATGTGAAATGAACTGATCACCTGCAATAGCAACAGTTTTTTGTTCTTCATCATTCTTTCTGCCTTTTCCCCCTGTTTAACTGGGCATGGGGCCACCCAAAACCAGGCAACACGCTCCAGTCTCCCTTGCAGCTACATATGGTCATATTCAGCTTTATTCTATTTAGCTAATGGATTGTAAACAAAAGGTTGTGTTTGACAGCTTGGAAGATTCCTTCTCCCCTTCCCCCTTCCTGCTGGCTGAAAGACTGATGTGATGAGTGGAGACAGTGTCATCTTGGACCATGACACAGAAGCTATTGCTTTCTGGTGCACTCAGGAATGGTAGAGCAATAAGGTAGAAGGAGCCTGAGTCTCTGAAACATGGCACTCTAGAGAGATTGCCTTCTAGATTTCTTTAAGTGTAAGACAATCAGATATCTATCTTTGTTTAAGTTACTGTGGTTTTGGATTTTTGTGTTACTCTTAGCCAAGCCTACTCTAAGCTGCTATATCAATAGTCTAGAAAATTATTAAATTGATTAGCAATGGCTTGCTAGAGGAGGGCAGGATGATGGTTGATGGGCAAGGCCTGATTCTAAATCCAACAGAGAAAGCACTTTAAATATTCTCTGTCTGGAGTTCCCAAATACTGATCCACAAATAGCTGCATCAGAATTGCCCTGACAGAGGTTCCCATAAATCCAGACTTCTGGTTCTCTTTTCAGGAGATTATGACTTAGTAGGCATTCTATGGGGTCCAAGACTGATATTATTTTAAAGCTCCTCACATAACCCTGATATCCAGATACACTTGGTAACTATCTGATCTACAACTGTTCTCTGCTGTGGGTCTGAGGTAGGGGGTGAAACAGAACCACCAGAAAGATTTGTTTGTTTTGGGGAAAAAAGCAAACAAATTTGAATTCTGAAATAATTTATTCCTCAAGTTATTTAGACCCACCTCTCCTTCTCCTAGTACCCACTGAGAGTCACACAAATGTCACCAAATGAACTGTTCTCTTTCAGGTTAGCCTTTGATATGGTTTGGATCTGTGTTGCACCCAAATCTCATGTCGAATTGTAATCCTCAATGTTGGAGGTGAGGCCTGGTGGGAGGTGACTGGATCACAGGGGTGGATTTTCCCCTCGCCGCTGCTCTCATGAGAGTGAGTGAGTGCTCATGAGATCTGGCGCAGCACCTTCCCACCCTCTCTTCCTCCTGCTATGGCCATGAGGTGCCTTCTTCCCCTCTGCCTTCCACCACGATTGTAGGTTTTCCTGAGGCCTCCCCAAAAGCTGAGCAGATGCCAGCATCATGCTTCCTGTTGCAGCCTTTGGAAGTGCAAGCCAATTAAGCCTCTTTTCTTTATAAATTACCCAGTCCCAGCTATTTCTTTATAGCAGTGCAAGAATAGATGGATACAGCCTTAGTTCAGACAAACTGACATTGACATAATTTGCATGTGGTTAGACTGCATGTGGCTACTGTTTTTTGTTTTTTACAGATCACATTTTCCATGGGAGTTTAGTCAACACCAATGTGCATTACTATACATTCATGAATCATTTCCGACAAAAAGAATTACCATGAAAATGCAGAAAGACTTTACTTTTTAAAGATTCCAGGGCCTCACACCTCAGAGGTTGAACTTTTTGGTCCTTGCAAAGATCTGCAAGGTCAGCAGATTCAGTTAAACAGCTGTCAGGCGAAGCTGGCCTAATAACACTCGGGCATACCAGTGGGTTCTCTTGGCAGAAAAGGTGACAGGCAGGGGAAAGCATTAACAGAAGGCAGAGTGTGGCGAGGCATTCCCAACAGCAGTGCACAGAAAGGGATTATACTAAGAGTACATCTACACCAGTGAAATCCCCTTTCAAGATCCATCCTCATGTTGACAGGTGCAGGCTTGGGAACTCAGTTCTCCTGCCCTCCTCTGGAAAGCTAGAGGAGAAAGAGCCTCGACCAGGAGGAAGCCAAGCAGGACTCAAGGGGTTCACTATAACTCTGAGAAGAAATATAATCAAACAGCACCAAAGATGCGTTTTAAGACAAAATTCCAAAATGATGCTGAAGATACCAAAGATCTAATTCTAACTGGGTTACTAACTCAGTCTGAGTTTGGGTAAGTCACATAACATTTCTGGTTTTAAATTTTGTCCTATGCAGATCAAGGGATTGAACTTAATGAACTATGAAATTCCTTTTAAAAGTTGGACAATTTTGTATTTATTGAATAGCTAATTATATTATATATAAATAGGTTCAAGGAAAAGCTGTCAGTCAATTATAGATTTGTTTTTATTTTAAAATATAAAAATCCTAAATCCCAACATAAAATCATCAGAGAGACATGCATGTCTTTGAAACTTGAATTTCTGAAAACTTTAATTGCTTAATCCCCATAAACTCTGATGGCATCCTGTTGTCCCTACTGAAAGATGCCATTATGCAAATATTTAGCCTAGTACTTTTAAACATCCACAAACGTTTATTTCACTCTCCCAAATAACATCAGTCAGAGGACTGAAAACATTCTGAACCCAGGCACTTATTGACATGATAGCTACAGGCTCTCATTAAAGGGTAGTCTATGAAATCTAATTCTGTGCTTACTGATGGTCTCCTGGGTTAAGAAAAATTGCAACCTGAAATGAGATACAGCTCTTTTATTGGTTGTTGTTACTGCAAAGTGGTCTTGAATCTTTTGGTGCTCTCTCCATTTTAACCCTCCTTCTTCAGGTGACAGAGCAGTAATAAAATATTCACTTCCTAAACCTTCCACATAACCCTGCTACTTGACTCACAGGCCATTGCCCATGTAAAAGGATTGAAAGATAAATTGGAACTCCCAGAAATCCCAGGAAATATTTGTATGTCATAGAGCTCCAATAGATTAAATAGGTTGGATTAAGCGCCAGTGCAATTCAGGGGAATGGAGAGAAAAAAGCCAAACTTACTTCATCCACATGCCCAACAGCTCCATAAATCCTTGCCATCTGTCCAATGAGGTAGGGGAATCTCTCACCAATCTCTTTCAGCATTGGAAGAAAACCATTCAAAGTCACTGGCTCATAGCCTGCTATCTCTATTAGGATGTTTAGGATGATGTCATTATGGGTTGAATCCTTCAAATGCCCAATTAGGAAAGGAATACACTTCTGAACTACCTATAAAGAGAGAGGGGAGGAGGAGGGAAGAAAGAAGGAAGAAAAAGAAAAGTTAATTAAATTGCAATTAATTTTGAAAGCAAAATTTTTTTGTATTAAACTTGAACTCAACACATTCTGGGATTATTAACCTCATTGGTACTCAGGCAAATCTCCCAAGTTTAGAATTTAAAATTTACAATAAAATCTTCAGAGCCTTTAGTTCCTTTTTCTTTTAATTTGTGCCTTACTGTTGAAGAGTGAAGTTTAAAATAATGCCTCAGTGTTGCTATTCATAAGTCAAGTTTCGATGTGTTATTTCCTCATTGGGAATGGTACATTTCCTCCAACCACCATGAAAGCTGCAATTTAAAGGACAATTTAAGTAGGTAGGAGATCCTTGTTGACTTTAATCAAAGCCTTCAAAATGGAGAAATTCAGTTTAGAAATGTTTAATAAATAAAAATATGAAAGCAGAAAAGATCTCCCACATTTTCTTCAATTTTCCATTTTGATCACAAAAATGTAATAATAAGATAAAATTATTAAAGCAAAATGATTTATACCATAGTCTCATATCTTAATTTTTTTTCTTGATTCTTAATGCTTATATGAATGTAAAGGTTAAATTCATCCAAGAAAATGGAACTCTTTGGTGGAATAAAGACACTATGTTAATATGTCACATACTGATAATGTAATGAATTGTTTTGTTTGCTAAAATAGAAGAATTAGAAAGGGAAACTTGTGGGAAGGTGAACAACGAAAGTGAAACAGATTTGCCCATCCATATTTCTGCTTTATTTGTTTCTTTTGTTTGTGTTTGATTTACTTTATTAATTTGTCATTTTTTGAGTAGGGTAGACTTTAAATGTAGCTTCCAGTATTAAAACCAAATCTGATACACAGCACCATCTGCCCAAAGTTGAACTCATAATCCACCCCCTGCCAAAAACCTGCTTCTCCCACCACCTCTTCTGGTTCTAAGTGCCTCCTTTTCTTATAAATTACACCATTATCCACCTGGCTACTCAAACTAGAAACTGTTTCTCCCTTACCAGCAGCTATTTTCCAAGCAATCACCAGGTCCTGTTGATTCCAATACCCAAGAATCCCACAGATTAGTCCACTCCCTTCTTTTTATATTCATCCATTCATTCACTCATTCACAAATACTGACTGAGTCCTTCCTATTTGCAAGCTGTAGGTGATGGAGATAGCAATAAGTCTGACAAGATTCACTGTTTAGTAAAGGAGATATTCAGTAAAAGAAATAATCACATCAGAAATGAACAATTATAATTTTAATAAATCCCATGTAGGGAAAACGTAGGGCTCTGTGAGAGACTGTCCCAGGGCCCTAATTGAGGCAAAGGGTCAGGGAAGGTCTCTCTCAGGGGGACATGGAGCTGAGATCCCTGACCCAGGCATCCCACACATGGGTTATTCCAACAGCCTCCTAACAGGTCTCCTTGCCCTCAGTCTTGCCCATCCAATCTCTTCTCAGATTTAGCAACAGTGGTGTTTTTTCCTGCCTTAAAACCCTACGGTCACTTGCCCTTTTTTTCATACCTGACTCCTATCCATCTTCCCACATTCAGTCCCTTGTCCACTTGGTCCACCTTCCCCCAGTCCAGATTCCACTACCTATCGCACATCAACTATGATGAATTTTTTAAAAACATTCTTAACTTGAGAAATTTTCTTTTGCATCTCGGATTTTACTCATGTGATCTGTTCCGCCTGGAATTCATGTTGCCCCCATTTTGCTTGAGTAGCTCCTGATCATTCTTGAGGCCTCAGATGAACTATTATTTCCTTAAGAAACCTCCCTCAGCTCCTCTCGTCTTCCTTCTCAGGCTATAGTGCCCTTGTGGAAGTTCCCACTGTACCCTAAATGGCCCTGAGCAGGTCCTTCACATGATTCCTTCTTATTGCTGCTCTAGATGCCTTTCAGGCTGGATTGAAAGTTCCACAAGGTTAAGCATCATCCCTATCTTGTACACCATTGGATACCTAATGCCTTACACAGAGTTTATCCAGAAGGTGAGTTAATAAGTTTTTGAGCAACAAATCAAAGGAAGATAAATCTAATTTGTATAGAGTGACATCTGAATAAAACATCTCCCCCACCCCATAGTAAAGAGTTGTACACAATGTTTAAACATATACTGTCATGTATTACTACAAAACAACTAAGAAGAACATAAAAGAAGAAAGTTTCTAGATAATTAAAATTATCCTATATAGAGATTTAAACTTCAGATTCATATCCAGTACTTTTGGAGGAAAGAATAGGGCTAGATTCTGGTAAATAGCATATACGAATGCACAGTTCTAGAAATGCTGCCTGTGCAATAGGAAGCAATTGTATCTTCTTCAGGAGAAGCCATGTGAGGTCCCTGGCACATATGGCAGAAGTGTCAGCCAGCTGCTCCAGGTCAGGGCAACATACTTAACCTCATGTTTTTAGCAATGAAAAATGCTTGCACATTTCCTGCCCCATTCTATAAAGTTTCATTTCCCAGTCCTTACTCTTCAGGTCCTGTTTCCTGAACACCAAGGTCTTTGTGACATGTGCTTCTCTCATGCCACTTTTACTCTAAAATTTAAACTTCAGCAATACATCCCAAGCTACACAGCATGGGTTTTAGCTGTTGTCCCATAAAGAACAATTAAGAAGGGAAGAAAAAGAAGAAGTGAAGGAAGGAAGGAAGAGAAAGAGAGAAAGGAAGGAAAGAAAGAAAGAAAGAAAGAAAGAAAGAAAGAAAGAAAGAAAGAAAGAAAGAAAGAAAGAAAGAAAGAAAGAAAGAAAGAAAGAAAGGGAGGGAGGAAGGAAGAGAGGAAGGAAGGAAGAAAGGAAAGGAAGGATGGAAGGAGGGATGGAAGGAGAAAGAGAAAGGAAGAAAGAAAGAAAAAGAAAGAAAGAAAAAGAAAGAAGGAAAGAAAGAAAGAAAAGAAAAGAAAGAAGACAGAAAGAGAAAGAAAGATGCTCAAGGCAAATACATACACCTGGGCATAGTTGAATCCACAGAAAGAGCAAGGGAAGAGAAGCCCTAAACAATGTAAATTAAATAATAACAATTTTACAAATTCAACAAAAGTTGACATTTTTTACTCTGAATTCCGACTAGCCTAAAGTTTGTTATGATAATGATAGAAAAGATAGATATTTCTTGAAGTTTATCCACACATGACAGACAAGTCTGCCTTGGGTTTTAGATAGATTATTCTTGGATTAGAAGGAATTTTATTTTCCAAACATAGGGCATTTCCTTAGGCTGGTGTCTTCAGTGCTTCCTCATTGAGAGCTGTCTGCCTGATGCAGGGAATAGTGGGCTTCACTGAGAGCCAAGTAGCCACTAAGAATAAGATGCTGGCTGCAGAGAGCAAGCTGACATGGACTTTGTTCAGGCTGTAAACCATGGACAGCTGAAAAAGCTACCAAACTGGCCTTGTTGCCTCAAATCTCTCTCCCTTCTGTTCAGGCTCCTCACTGCCACCAGACTCATAGCCCTCAAACTCCGATCTGATCACCTCAGGTTTCTCTTAGAGACTTTCAAAATTTTCTCATGGCCCATGGCCAAAATTCCAGAGCCATGGTATTCCAGACTCCGGTGTCTTTTTTGATGGGCCTGTCTGCAGACTCTTCCCCTATGACCCAGTTACATGGCACTGATCACCCACAGTGGCTTGAACACAGAGAGAAATCTTGTACTTTCAAATTCGATCTCAAATCTCTACTTCTGGGAAATCTTCTCTCTACCCACCCTAACACATGCAGGACCGGACACTAGGGTACAAGCAGAGTCCTTCACACCACAAATACTCAGCCGCTATATAAAATGTTCTATCCTCCTCCCTGACAAATGTGCCTTTCTAACAATCTGTGATACTTGATTTGAATTTAGAACGTTTGACCTCTGGAGAGAAAATAAGGAGAGATGTCTCCCAGTCCCCATTCCTTGTCCCATACCTTCTCTTCTATTTCCACCCCAGCTTTGCCCTGCATGTGAACACCCCAGTCCACACATGCAAGCTCTTCTAGGCCACCTCTCAAGAATATGGGGTCAACTGTTGGCATGGCTTGTTCTCAGGAGAACAGACCCAAGGACCAAGTATTCACAAGTCCTGGAAGCAGGTTTGAGATACCTGGGAAAGGAATTCCAAGGTCTCAGTTACCTGAACTGAGCTTAGTGGGCAAAAGAGTGGGTGGGAACTGGGGGTGCAAGTAAAGGTGGGCCCAAACAGAATGCTCTAAACCAAGTAGCCCAGCATAGGGCCTCGGCCCTGAATTCCCTGGTTTTTCCTGGGTAGAATTAGTCACTTCCTCTTCCATGCTCCCACAGCAGTCTATTTACGAGTTTGGCATTTTGTCATTGAAGTTTTATGGATACATCTCCCAGACCATGTACACCTTGAGGATATGGCCATCTGAAGACAGTGCCATAACTTAATTTACAGCAATAACATTTCAAATCTTATGTAAAGAATAAATTTTTTGAGCAATTAAAGTCTCAGGATACAAAATCAATATGCAAAAATCACTAGCATTCCTATATACAAACAGCAGGCAAGCAAAGAGCCAAATCATGAATAAATTCCCATTCACAATTGCTACAAAGAGAATAAAATACCTTGGAATACAGCTAACAAGAGAAGTGAAGGACCTCTTCAGGGAGTACTACGAACCACTGCTCAAAAAAATCAGAGAGGACACAAACAAATGGAAAAACATTCCATGGTCATGGATAGGAAGAATCAATATTGTGAAAATGGCCATACTGCCCAAAGCAATTTACAGATTCAATGCTATTCTTATTAAACTACCACTGACCTTCACAGAATTAGAAAAACTATTTTAAAATTCATTTGGAACCAAGGAAGAGCCTAAATAGCCAAGACAATCCTAAGCAAAAAGAATAAAACTGGAGGCATTATACTACCCAACTTCATACTAAACTGCAAGCCTACAGTAACCAAAACAGCAGAGTACTGGTACAAAAACAGACACACAGACC